TAGAGCCTTCACTTTTTGTCCGCAACTTCTTTGGTTACGGTCCTCGCCATTCATGTGAAATGTCGACCCTCCGACAGTCCGATTTTGATGAAACGTAACATATACGTTAAGAATGAAACAATCGCGGATGAAGTTCAATTTTGTGCGCATCGGACGTTCCGGCCCCCTTTGCCAAAAGCACCGTGACCACGGTAAAGGCTATAATGTTCAACATAATTGTTTCGAATTTGGTTTGAAGTATTGGGGTCACGAGTGTATGGACCGTATCGATAGTCAGCCTTTCTCGATCATTCGTTCCAAAACTTAGTGAATGCGGTAGGGTCCACTCTTTTTAACATATCGTTTTCCCATTGAGTTCAAGATCATTCGATATTCGGCGTTCCATTGTAATGTCCCTTAGCCACAGCTTTTAACATACCATTGTTCAAATTTGATATGAGTCATTGTAATAATAAGATGATGGGCCCTATCAATTGTCTCTGTTATCCGTAAAATGTGGGTATATTTTGCATGTTTGATTAACCGCACACACAAGAAATAACAGTATTTGAAATGACGTCTAAGACTGTATACCTCGAGTGTAGTGGGTTCGTCAATGGAGCCGTAAATCTATTGTTAATTCTGCAATAGTCTAGTGCCGTAATTTATTTGACCTGTATAAAACATATACACTAACCCCTAACTATGACATACACAGTTACAGCATTGCGTGGCCGATGGTAAGCGTAGTTGAATTTCGGTTGTTTTGGTTTTTCCTCCTGAAAGAACTGCAAAAGACAAAACAATTACCTTGACACGATTAGATACGTATTCCCAGAGAACATATAGCCTCTATTAGTTCGATTGATGTAATTATCTTAGATAAGTTGATTATTGTCTCTTTAATATACAAGTTAATAAGAGAACTGCAAAAAAAAGACGTAGCCAAAACATTTGAAATATAATAAATTCGATGGGAACTTAGGTCAATCATCAGAACATATTATATAGACGAATACCACTTTCTCCTCTGTTGCTCAGGATATATAAATTTACGTCGCAGATTTTGGTCCTTTCCTTCTTTACATATATTCAAAAATATTTTAACAAACACCAAACGTAAATATATAATCTATTTAGGAAAATATCTATACCAAAGTATGAAATTACGTAATCAATTATTAAACACCCAAAAATGAAACTAAACACCAATTGGGAACTTTTTTGTGTATATACTTTTGTACTATCTTCGTGACATGTTTAGATATTGAAAGTACTTTATTTACATATGTATATGTATATATATAGATGGCATTAATAGATTGCCCCAAAATCTGAACGATGGCGACGCTTTCGTAACCATGGATGTTTGCAATATGTATGGCAACATTTCCCATGACCTATGCCTTCAGGCCATAGAATATTGGTTGGATAAACATCCTGAATGCAGTCATGAGAGAATTTCAAACAACTTCATCCTCAAAGCTATACGAATCATTCTGACTAACAACACTTTTACATTTGGCGAAACCAATTACAAACAGATTCTTGGTATAGCGATGGGTACCAAGGCGGCACCACAATTAAGTAATTTAACAATGGGATTCCTTGAGGACAAACTATACTCAATTGTAGAAATTGAACATGGGTTGCATTACAGATTATATTTAGAAAATCAATTGAAACAATTCTTAGACGATATATTCTGTATTTGGAATGAACGAATTGGCAACATTGCAGATTTGCAAAAAAATAATGAATGATTTAGATCTAAATATCAAATTCACAATTGAAACGAACGATCTGCAAATCGCATTCTTGGACGTTCTAGTGAAACGAAGGGGAGAACTCCTTATAACGGATATGTATTCTAAAGAAAGAGATACCAAAATCTATCTTTCATATAAATCATGTCACCCACGCCATACCAAAAATAATATACCTTATTCTTTAGCTAGAAAAATAAGCACCATTGTGATAGATGACGATCTCCGGGTTGTCAGATTGGGTGAGCTAAAAAGAAATTTATTGAAACAGTATTACCCTCTCGAGGTAATAGAAGTTTGGATAAATAAGGCTTTGGCAATTGATATTCAAACACTGAAGGCTACTAAAGCAAAAGACAGTTCGGATAATATCATTACCTTTGTCGCTACTCATAACCCCCAACATCCCAACTTCTTTAAAACAATGTACGAGAGCAGGGCAATCCTGGCATCAAACGACAACCTCCGAATGAAATTTGATAATGTTCAATTCATTAAATCACAAAGACAGACACCTAATCTGAAACGTCTCCTAACCAAAGCAAAATTCAATTCATCTATCACAAGGACCGGCTCTTCGATGTAAATGTTGCGACCATATTACGCCAAATAGCAAATATAATTTTCCTAAGTTTACATTTAGTGTCAACGACAATATGAATTGTGACACAAAAAATCTCTTGCAATGTGTGTCTAAATGTTTACATAGTAGAGACGTCCACGCATCTACGGGATAGAGTACGCAACCATCGACGGGATTGTAATATTAGAAATGGGCCCTTATTTGTAAATAGACATATTTTTAAATGTGCACAACACCTACAAGTAAAATTCCAAATTTTCCCTTTTTATGAAATGAAAGTCGATGACACCACGAAAAGGAAATTAATGGAAAACCATTTTATTAAAAAAATATGTTCCTCGACTTAATAGTCAATAAGTAACAATTGGCCATTAGCTTCATTAATTTTCTTAAATCTATCCCATGATTATCTTCCACTCATTGTTCATAAATTGAACCCATATACTACAGATTAACACATGTGTGTACATGTTTTCTATTAGTTAACGATATACTATGTAACCATAGACAATGGTAACTATAGCCAATTAAAACCAGTGTTACTATGTAAATTTGTAAAAAATATACTATACTGTCCATCTTTATACAATGACATTATTTATGAATAGTTCTAAGACGGACGAAAAGTACTTTAAAATGTTATTAAACCAGTGTTGAAATCAGTTTGTGTCGGCATACCTTTTTTTATCTTTTCATCATTTACCGTGAAACAAAGTAGTGCAGCTTTGCGGTTGTGCTAATAATTTTGGATATATATATATATTTATTCTTCTATTATAATTATGTTCCTTATATTCCTTATCTGTTGTGCAATAATCACCAAATATATTTTATGTACCTATGTTGGCTATAGCAAGTGATTTGCTTTGCCTTGAAATAAAATAAAGTATGCCCCGCCATCATATTATGTACATCTCTCACTATTATTAACTGGGATGCTTATCCATGGCTACTGTCCTCCAAATTTTATTTTATCTACAATTATATCTATCCCCAAAAATCGCAAGAAATCTTTAAATGATTCTGATAACTACAGGGGAATAGCACTAAACAGCATTATTGGGAAATTATTTGATAGGATTATTCTTATTCAAAAGCAGGACTGTTTAAAATCATCCGATCTACAGTTCGGCTTTAAGAATAGACACTCAACAACGCACTGTTAATTTGTCCTTAATGAAACCATAAGTTATTATCATAATAGAAAATCTAATGTATATGTCACATCTTTAGACGCAGGTAAAGCATTCGACCGTGTCCATTACGTCAAATTATTCAGAGTTCTGATAAAAAGAGGTTTATGTCCACTTTTATGCCGATTTCTTTTAAACAGTTATATTTACCAAACGATTCGCATAAAGTGGGATAACCACGTTACTGAAACTTTTAATGTCAAAAATGGTGTGGAACAAGGCGGGGTGTTGTCCCCTATACTGTTTAGTGTTTATTTAGATGAACTTTTAATCAGATTAAGAAACAGCAACATTGGTTGTAAAATAGGCCATGTCTATGTCGGCGCTTTGGCTTACGCAGATGATGTAACACTTGTTACTCCATCTAGACTGGCTCTTGTCCAATTACTAAACCTGTGTGCTGACTTAGCAAATGAATACGATGTTAAATTTAACCCAGACAAGTCTAAGCTTGTAGTGTTTAATTACAATACAAACAATAAAGAAATCAATAAAGATGTATATTTTAATGGTAAAATTATTAATATTGTAGATACAGAATTACACCTAGGTAATTCATTACAATCAGAAACAGGAGAGCAGGTAATTCAAAAAGGTGTTAAAAACTTCATAATCACTTTTAATGTTGTAAATACTGTCTTCAAACATGTACATTCAAATGTAAAGTATAAGTTATTTAAGACATTGTTTGCTACTGTATGGTTGTCGGCTGTGGGATTTCTCCGATAGGACCATTGAAAGATTTTACTGTACTTTGCGCAAGTGCACTCGTAGACTGTGGGATATTCCATGTCGTACACACAATGTCCTTATTCCATTAATTTGTCAGTATTATTCTATAAAAGCTCAGCTTCATAAACGATTTGTAAAACAGTTTATTAGTTATGTATTAAGATATGTGCGCGTCATGCCTTACATGGAAGTTCTTCCAATACTTGTAATAACATTAGTTATGTCTGTAACAGATACAGTGTCTCTGGATACGATTTATATAATATAAAAGCAAATAAACTTTTAGACATAATAACTAAATGGGATAATACCAATGTAAGTCAGTCTGATCTCAGAAGAGCTGGTCAAATTGTAGATATGATAAATATGCGCGAGTCGCACGAAATTTACTCACATAAAAAAGATCTTAATGAAATAATTACTTATTTATCCCTTGACTAAATGTATTTATATATATTGTAAATATTGTAAGTGTACACTAATGTACGAATAAATGTGAAATAAATAAATAAAAGTGAACACCTGTACGTGGGCAATTATTTGATTTCGCGAAACGCGGCCTAGAGCAAACTGTATCGAGCGTACTAGAGATTTCAGTCGACAGCCGTCAACAGTCCTTATGATCCGGCGATGTTTTATTGACATATATAACGAACCATGGATTATTAAGCATCTGGAGAGAAATACATAGTTTTTATTTGTACCTGATGGTGAAAACTGTTCAGCAATGACGATAGTTAGTCACCGTGCACAACGAAACGCTGCCTATGTTGTCACTGTGGCCAGTGAAACATGGCTGCTCACTTTACAGCTAAACTGATCAATTCTGTAAGTGTTTTATTTATAAGATTACATAACACAAGAACAATATTGGCAAAGATTTAAGAATATGTCCAATGCCCAATCAAACCGATAATGTCCTGTGACTGTCCACAAAACCTTGTGTAAGGTATAGTGTTTGGTGGACGGATCCTGTGTAATAATATCGCTGACGGGTTGTCTTTGTTTTATACAGTTTAATTGCATGTTACTGGGCATAATATAAGTTATCTTTGTTAGCAATATTTTGGATTATTTTGTATTAATTAATGCTTTTGTTTTAAAAAATGGCACATTCTGATATCCAAATGCCTCATTGTTCATTCTCTTAGTTCTCTGGAAGATTTGTAATATCGGATTTAATATTTTACCCCAACTGTACCTTGTTAGCACAGAAAGTGTTCTCTACACACACACACAACTTTCGACAAACAGAGCCCTCGTTCCGCCCACTTTTGAATGGGTGAACTTTTAATGAAATGTTATAGTAGTGATAGTGAAAAAAACTTCAGTCAGTCAGGGGGTAATTGGTAGTTGACTAGCTAACTTGATGTGCACTTGACACGGCATATACTGGATGTGGGTGGGGGCTGCCTGTGTTTTGTTACCCCTAAGCGACCGCCATGTTTGTTCTACAAATTGAAAACAAGTATGGCTGTTGTTTAGGGCGTTAATTTTTTTAAAAAATTTAATTGTTTCTGTAGTTTTGTAATCGGAGATCAGCTAGCTTTAAAGTGCGTTCATACTGTATTTGAATTGGATTGTCCCAGATTAAAAACGTTACGTTCATCATATTACAGCTTATTCGGATTGAATGCAAATTGAACCGCGCCACATGAATACGTATAACTACCAGTAGCGTACTCGCAGAGGCGAAGGTAATTCATATCCAAGATGGATACACCCGCCATTCCTATTCGGGATCATAGTGATCCTGCTGCTTATTTACCATTATTTATATTGCTAATGTTTAATTTCCTAAGACGAACAAAGCTACATCAGCGACGCCAGGTCTTGCATTTTCGACGTCTTGCCATTGAGCTTCGGGCACCATTTCGTCGGCACCAGAATTAAACGCGAATGAGGATGATTTCATCTTCTGGTCGCATTCGCTATGCATGAACAAGTATATGTACATGTACTCCATTCTCGACTCTGTACTAGTGCGATTGGCACTGATCGGCGGTCCTCTCATATCCCTGTGCTACCAGAGGATCAGACAGCCTTCTGTAAATTGCCGGGTTGCGGCGCGTGCGCGCCAGCTGCACTTCTACATCTTTGTCTCTCCAAAGTTAAAGAAGAAGCCCCACCGTCTTACCCCAAAGCGTACCAGTTTCATACATACGTTTGCCTCCAAACGATAAAACGGAAGTAGACGTGAACATGCGCGAAAAGCTATTCAGGTCCGGTAAACCCGTTAATCTGAATCAAGCGCGCCATACTCAAATCTTGACTGCGAATAATCCGATTCGAAATAACTGTTCCAGATTGAATTCCGAAAAATAATCGGACTCGTTATTTGTTCTGTTCGGTTTTTAGGCTATTCAGATTAAACACCCAGTGTGAACGCTCCCTTAAATGACATTTAACATGATTCATTTAAAAAAGCGACTAACAGAAATCACCATCTGTAAAATTAAATTGTTTACAAATTACTCAGTTTCGATTCATCTACAATTCAGATATGTAGTATTTACACATACACAAACTTTTCATAGACTCATTTTATATTGATAAATCAAAATTTTCCATGATACCAATGGCCTTCGTATATTTGTAGGTGGAATTGTCTCCTCGGCAGATTTTACCCTGTTTACTGTCGGTCATCTTCATAGCTTTGGTGTTTGCGTACCAGAATGATTTGTACTTCCATTACCAACCGCTCCAGATCAAAGAGTTACCAAGAGAACTGACAGTAAAGCCCCACTTCATGCAACTTGATGTTGTTCTAACGTTTCCACTGTTAACAGATCCCACTGTCCATAAAACATCATCGTATTCACCATTCTCGATAAAGCAACTGGAAGCGCGATTATCAGAATATATAACCGGCTTACAGAGAACTTTAGATCATCGATATGTTTCAAAAGTACATTTTCTTTATGACCAGTCACCAATTATCAAATTTATTCGAACACAGATTAAAAATAATCTCGATAAATTGGTATTTCATGAGGTATCCAAACCACGACAAACTAACAAAATTTATGAATTCGTTTTTTCGAATCTTAGCGGACGCGTTGTTATGGTAACTCAGGCGGATGTGTATCCGGGACACGGTTTAGATTTGATCAAAAAAGATGTTATGATTTCCAAGAAACTGATGTACGCTTTAACCCGACATGGCCAGTTGGAAGAAAACTGTGATATGAGACTACGGCGACAAAAATCTAATTCGTGCAGTAGACGTGGATATATTGGATCCCATGATTCATACGTCTTTGTGCCAGAAGGAACGCTTCTACCTGCTGCTTCTGTGTCTTTAAATCATTCTGCAAATAATCTGGGTATCGACAACATCATTATATGGACCTTTCAAACTATATTAAAATACCGAGTGCTTAACCCATGTAAAGTTATATTCGTCTATCATCTTCACTGTACTGAACTAAGGAATCGGGACAGAAAACGAGTTAATGGGAAACACAATAAAGGATTGTCTAGACCTACTGATAAACTATTTTGAGGCTTTGTTAAGACACTAAACTTAAAATAGTATAGATGCATTTCTGTTTGCTGTTTTTATTTTGCGGTGTTGGGTGACCAAATGGTCTATGACGTGCGCTTTCGATCATAAGTTCTGTCCAAAATGGTGGGTTTTCGAAAATCTCAAAATGCGAAAAAAATCTACCCGGTAGTAAATTATAGAAATAGAATTGAGCCATATATTAGTCTCGAAAATAACCCAGTACCCCCCCCCCCCCCCTCTCTCGTGGACAGGAAATCCTGGGAGAAAAATGCATATCTGTTATCCGAAATGTTTACTTTCCTGCACCAACCGGGATGATGAAGACGGGCAGATTTATTCAGATTTGTCGGGTCTAAGATGATCAGATTCATTGGTAAGGGCAGCCACAGTGGCTCACTGAATAAGATGTCTTACTATAACCAAGGTTTTGGCTGAGAAGTTCACTTGTTTGTGGTGAAGGAGGGTAACCTGACACAAAACAGGGTCTAGTCGTCCTGTTGGGGCGAACAGACGATGTTTTGTGTAGACGTTGCGGGTCACATAAGATCCCTTGACATAAATTGCCGGCACGTAGAGGGACAAAATTCATCCCTTTACACATGGCTTGCATGTTTTATAGCCATCTTCATTAGCGTGGTCGATATGCAGAATAAATAGGCAGCTAAACACTTAATTCTTCAGACCCACTTGTTGGTTTCCGGGGCAACTTATACTTGCAGATGTAGATAACGCTCTCTATTGATTATCCTTATGAGTATTATTCAACATTTATATGGCGCACATCTTCCCTTTAGTGTTTGGATATCACATCAATATCATGGTTTAATATATAAATCGCTATAAACGCATATAATAAAGATCTTAATATGTTGTAATGTTGGGGTGCCCCAACATAAATAAATATCTCCAAATATCTCGACAATTACACCCCAATATTTATATATACACCAAGCCTCAAATTAGTTTCGCACATTAAAAGTCACTAAATAAACCGTCATGTTGTGGTTAATAAGCTATGGCCATTTAACTGTCGATAAATAATAGACTGAAAAATTGTTACGAGTGTCGGCCATTACAACCGGGTATTTTTGAGTAAAAAAAGGTTACATTCCCTTGTTTTGAAATTAGTCTCGCTTAACCAGTCTACTGACCATTCTCCGTCTGATTGACAGGCCGGGATACTCAAGACTACTTTTTTACGAAACATAACATAAAGCTGGAACAAGAAATTGAAATGAAATGAAATGAAATGGGGTTTAACGTTCTGCTCCTAAACTGGGCTAATGAAGACGGGCATACGCCATACAGTGTGCTATGAGGGAAATTTTGCCCGGGCAGCTGCGCTACGGCCTACTCTTATATCGAATTCCAACTGCCAAGGGATTTTTTACGTGCACGCCAATGTGTACACGGGACCTCGGTTTTTCGTCCCACCCAAACGACTAGATAGCTGTCCTTGTCAGGCCCTCCGTTCTGCATCACTGACAAGGGGTAACCACGCCGATAAATCTGGATGAACTTGTTCGGCCAATGCAGGGATCGAACACCCGACCTCCAGGCTAGCGAGCCAGCGCCTTACCCACTTAGCCACGTGATCCCAAACAAGAAATTGAATTTAGAAACACGCACGTTAGGTAACACAACAATTGTTTTAAGAACCTTGTAAAAGTAAATTGAAATTACTACTAGTATCGTATTCTTGCCTAACCCGGGTGCTTCAGAGATATTATTTGTACTAAGCCAAAAGATGCCGCCCCTAACGGTATAGTTAATGCTAAAGCAATTTTAAAAAAAAACGAACGTAATTTCTAAAGCTGCTGTAATAACCAAAAAGCTAAATATTACTGCTATTCAGAATCGTCAACAGTAGATTTTTTATGGCTGTTATAGTTGATAGATGTGTAGAGAATTTCACGTGCGATGTCTATTTATAGACACGTAGACACTTGCGCCGAGTGTTATCGCACCGCGTGACTAGCCAGAAATCACTTCGAGACGAGCGTGCACATTCGCCGTGTCAAGTTCAGTAGGGAAAAGTTTCGCTGCATGGGGCACCCTAGTAATGTACTCATGAGAACACAATTTTAAATTACTCTATAAAAATGACCATATCTGTTTGATCTGAGTAAAGATGTCGATGTCATTAGAATTTTATAGTTTTGTTGGAGGACAATCTGTCTTAATTCAAAATTTTACTTCTAAAAGATAAAGCCAATGTTGATGAAATATAATCGATTTAGTCTTCCACTAACATTCACTTATGCTAGATTCCCACTGTCGTGTGGAGTGGGGGTGCCGAATGGTTAACGCGTGCGCGTTGCATCATACGGTTTATCATTGAGTCAAGTGACGTGGTATTGATCCTCCGCTTGTACGTGGCAAGGAGTAGGGACGTGATGAGGTGTGGGTACGACGTGACAAAGATTGGGGTCGTCTGTCCAGCCTCGTGGATTTCCCCCTAGTTCTCCGGTTTGCTCCCACTGTAAAATGTCCTACGCGCAAGCTGTTGTGCGATGCGTTACGATGGGGTTGTCCCTATTGAGTCCACAATCTGGCACGTGCGGATACGTTTTCATACGATCAACATGATTGCTACAACTGACCTCAATATATGATCATCGCGATTACTCCACGATTAAAACCACGATTGCAATCGTAGAGCGAATCGTGACAGTGGGAACTTGGCATAAATCATATGAAACAGATATATAATCGCATAGAGTTTGCCGAATCAATAATCGATTCTTGTTACATTGACATAATATAGAAAACTTTGGATGTCATTTTTTTTACAAAACACGAATGGCACTTTGAAATTGCTAAGAAAAGACCATTTTATGGATGACATATTCGATAATATTAACAAATTAGCTTACTGGACCTAATGTGTTTATACAAGTGACTATAGATAATATTACCACCGCGAGCATGTAATCAATAGACAAGCTGTCGCTATACTACGCAAATACACAAACTTTGATAAAACCAGTGTTGCCAGGCAAAACATACGCATTTTAGCAGCAATTTGAATGGTGGCATTCAGGTAACCAAGGAGATCCAAGGTGACTTAATGCGTAAGTCGCTACCCAGGAGAACTCCGGTTCATTTCCGGTGGTGGCCGAGAAAAGTTCTTCGGATTTTGCCGACGGTATTGTTGCTGGACGGATGAGCTGGCAAAGAAACAATGTCCATTCTTCCGGTGCACGTATAAGAACCCTGGACAAAAGTGTAAGCCGTAGCGTATTATAGAGTGTAATACTATTTGATAATTTATGCGAAATTGTATTGGACGATTATGTTGTATTTGTATTATCCATTGTCAGTATATCAGCTATGGTATGGGTTTATTTAAAACGCAAATTAAATTATTTATGAAATATTGTGAGAATAACAGGAAAAAGGAGTTTTAGTCCAGGGACAAATTCTATGTCTAAAAAGACGTGATCGGAAAGTTACCATTTCGCATTTGGCATGAGTGACCAATCCCATGATAAATTACATCATAATTAGCCTATAGAATAATTAATGGCTATGAATTTGAAAATATATAATTTATAGAATGTTAGACACCAGGCAGATTCTAAGAGAAGAGAGGCCGTTGAGGTTCACGGGACACCATCTGGTTTCGGAATGCCCGGTTAAATCGTAGGAGAGCCATGCGATGTATTGGGATCCGTCAGTAAACTTGTTCTACGGAATGGTGGGGTTGAGAGAGTAGATAATGCCTTTGTTATAATTTATGCATGTAACTATGTAACCTATATGTAGCAGTGCTTAATATGACATTTAGAAACGAAATGTGGTATTGTTGTTCCTGTGTGTAACCATAAGTGGCAGAATAAATACACAATATTTAAAGTGGAGTTCTATGAAGAGAGGGGGGTTGGATTGCTGAATGGTTAGCACGTGCGCGCTGTATCATTAAGTCTGTCATTGAGTCAACTGCCGTGGTTTCGATTCCCCGGTTGTTCGTGACAAGGAGTAGGGTCGCCTGTCCAACATCGTGGGTTTTCTCCGCTGTTAGGCATTACCCCCGCCACTGCCACATATACGAATTGGACGTTTCGGCCAAGTTATGTCTTTAGGATTGTCACATGTGTAGAACTCTCATATATGTAGCCTAGACAGAACAAAAGGTGTAATTGTTGGGTGTTTTGGTTAAGCTACCCCACTACCAGTGTAATACTGCATTTACACCAAAGGGTGTAACTAATATTGGGGAATAAATCATAGAACAACGTTAATTTATAGCGTTTATTGGGTTGAAACATTCATGAGTACCGAATACAAGGAAAGCTGTAATTGTAACCGCTAAAAGGTGTTTGGAATGAGCTAGCCCCTCTACAAGCGTTTTATTGCATTTACACGAACATGTAATTATTTTAGGAAAACATTCCTTCGAATAAGGTGTCAATTTTACACCGTATCTTGCGTAACAAAAGTATTTGTGTACTACAATTTGAGTGTTTGTTTGTTTGTAAAATATGAGTGTTTACTCCTAGCGAGTAAAGAATAGATTATTTTAGCTTGTATACACATACGTTTAAATATTCCAAAGTACAATATCCTAATTAATAATTTTTAATTCAGGTGAGGTGCATAAGTGAATAAACCACATTATTCAGCTAAGTTTTAAGGATATGTGTATTGACTTTCCCTCATGATTTATATTTATTGTAAATTGATACAGGTAGTCTAATTGCCCAACAGCAGTTGAATTTTGAATCAGTCTGATGGGTATTTGTCAATTCAAGGAGACGGTCTATAATTATGTAATCTAAGTCGGGCTAAACGCGCTATGCTAATTATCATAGTATAGAGACCGACAGCCAATTTCATGTTTTCTGAACTTAGAAGTCGTTGGCTTGAAATTAAACCCCATTTCATTTCATTTCCCCTTGTCAGTGATGCAGGACGGAGGGACTGACAAGGACAGATGTCTAGTCTCTCGGGTGAGACGAAAAACCCAGCTCCCGTGTACACATTGGCGTGCACGTAAGACCCCATGACAGTTGGAATTCGATATGAGT